GTTTGTTTGTTTGTTTGTTTCAGGAGTGTGAAGATCTGTCCGTGAATCTCAGAGACTCTTTCCTTGCACACCTCCTCATTTGGGAAAATATTGACATGGCAGCTTTCCAAGCTAGATAAGGTCTGTGGCCATAAATATTCCTTTGAAAGACTGTTTGCCAGGCCTTGGCTGAATGAGAGGAATTCCCATTCGTTTAATAAAAGGGGTTTTGTCAGGATCAGGAGTCTGCCTCCTGCTTTTTGGGGAAGCCTGGGTCAGAACAGAAGAAGCCCAAAATCTTCCTAGCAATAAGCCTTTTTTCCCCAACTACCCTGAAGCCAAGCTGGGAGAAAGCATTGCTAAAGGAATTTCAAGAGGTGTGATTTCCATCAACTTCCTTGAATTTTTTAAAAAACAAATTGGCCTTCTTTTAAAAGAGCTCTTGCAGAAAGCTTAAAAAGCCCAGGCTGCCTTCTGTACGTAGCAAATAACGCATGGCCAGTGGAAGGTTCTGCGCATTCCCCAAAGTGCCTGAACTCTGGGCAACTGATCCAGCAGTTCTCCAAGGAAAGCAGCAGCCGTGCCCGGCTGTAGCACCGAAACAGGGAAAGGGGCTCGTCGGCCGTCCAGCTGCTTCCCAAAACTCACCCGATGGTTTGACTCCAAGTTCACCCTGGTAAATTCAAGACCGTCGTTCATGATTCCAGTCTCCCCGTCTGTAGGAAGAGAACGGAGAGGGTTGTTTAGCTCCGGGAAAATAAATGCAGAACATCTTAAAATCGTGGATTTGAGCACTAAAATAAAGAGTGACGCATTTCCCCCCAGACCATTCCGTTTCACTTCCGTTTTGCCCTCGACGGCTATCCGTCGTCGTAGCCACCATCTCCCAGATAAATCAGAAAAGCCACTGGGCCAAGTCTTCCAGCAACGGGGTTATTTGAACCACAGTTAAGTGAATTAATCCAAACGCTCGAGTCATTTAGAATCCAGTATGTTCTTTATGGTTTTCAGATTGAAATCCTGCCTCTCTTGGCCGTGAGAAGCCTTCACATGGAACCAGACCATGGTTTGCTTGAAGCCAGCCATTTTTCTTTGCAAACCATGGTTTGCAGCTTTGTGGCTGGAGTGGATTAATACAGTGAAATGTGGTTAGGCTGGATCAGTGGGTCTCAACCTTCCTAATGCCGCAACCCTTTAATACGGTTCCTCATGTGGTGGTGACCCCCAACCGTCAAATTATTTTATGTTTTCCATATTTTTTTGAAAATATGTGTTTTCCGATGCTCTTAGATGACCCCTGTGAAAGGGTCATTCGACACCCCCCAAAGGGGTCCCGACCCACAGGTTGAGAACCACTGGGCTAGATAGTCCTGCTAATACAGTGATTTGTCCTGTGGCTAGTTGGCCCAGTGAGTTAGCCATGGCGATTTGTTTTAGACCCAGGAGGAAGCTGTGGGCTGAAGAAGAAAAGGAGGGTTCTTACTTGCGGTGTTACTGGGGTTCGGGCTGGAGCAGCTGCTGAGCATCTGCGTGTGATTCTGCTCTGGATCCCAGGCGGGTCCCACAACGAGATCTTTCAAAACTTCCACTGGAGATGCATTTTGTTGGTGAAGAGAGACAGAACACAGACACACACAAACAAACAAACACACATTTAACAAACAGATATTCTTTCTCTTGTTCTGTAATAACATGTGGTTTTATATAGAGAGGATATCACAGAAGTGAGTACACCCCCCTCAGATTTTGTAAATATTTAAGTCTATCTTTTCATGTGAGAACACTGAAGAAATGACACTGCCAGGCCTGCAGCCATATTCTTTATGGATCTTTGGCCTGCCACACTTTCTATTATTCTACGATGCCTTTTCTGTTGTGGGAAAATGGGAGGGGGGATTGTACGGAGTTAGATGCTATGTAGCCAAAACAAAATTCCTTCTAGAAAACCAAGGTCATCCTTTGTCTCTACACCTGACCGGAACTGGTTGGATGGAACTGCCAGCATGGCAGTGAAGAGATTGGGCCATGTGATGGGCTTGTGGGGGCAAGATCTTGAACTTTCAACTGAGTGGGGAAAACTGGGAAGC